CTTGTGGAAGTGGGCGAAATCGTCGCTGGATTCATCGCTTTTACCAACACTCTCCTTGAATTTCCAAGTTGCCTTCTGAGGTCTTGTTTCCTTCTCCTTCCTTGCCTCAGCGCTGCAATCAGGTCTCTCCCGATCGAAACCGTCCCCTATCCGCTCCAAGGCCTTAGTTTTATTACGTTGAGGCATCTGCTCTCCAAGGGCGCTTTTTGTGGAGTGCTTGAAAAGCGACTTATGACTGAGAGTGTCACTGGTGGAACTAATGGACTGTGAGCGTTTCCACGGCACTGGACGCTTTTGACGCAGTTCCAGTATGCTTCTTCGCTTAACATTCTGCCACAGGCTTCGTCCTGTAACTAGGCCAGCCGGCTTTGGCAAAAGTGTAGCCGAAATACCACCGATGGGTGCAAGACTGTTTTCTCCTTTTGAGGACTGACACTCTGTCCCAGTTAGTCTGTCTATCCGAAGCCTGCGTTTGGTACGCTTTCCGCTACGTGATTTCTTACATTCCAGACCCCCTCGCGAAGTTGTAGATGCAGAACCACGACCGTCACTTGCTGAGGTCTCCAGTTCATTGCTGGTCGCATAGCCGGAGATCTCTTCCAGTGGGGCCAAATTACTCTGCGTCATCTTGAAGTTCCTCACGAGCGACGGCCTCGGCGTAGAAGTCGCACATGGGATCAGGCCAGAGGGGTATTCAGTGGAGATATACGGAAAGAGGGCCGTCTCGCTCTTGCAGATAGTAACGCCACCAACACCAGTCGCCGACAGACTATCAAATACCGGCTCCGCCGGCCCAGTGTAACAGTTGTCGCCATTGCAGTTACCATCTACACTGCGCACTGCTGGCGGAGTTACCTCAGGTGCCGGTATTGCGTTAGCATCCTCTACGTGAACCTCTATGTTTACCAACTTCAAGTGAGAAAGACGGCCGGTTGTCTGGTCTGGCCCGGCTAACTGGGGGGTGGGTCCATCTACCATCTTCTCAGGAGATGCTTCAGGGGTCGCAACAGGACTCTCAGTTATGAGGGTTGGTCCTCTGACCGAGTCAAAACATTCGGATGTGCCAGGGCCGTCATCATCGGTGGAGGTCACTTCACATACGACAATTACCGGCTGACTGATGGGATTGGCTGCGCAACGGTTGGGCTCAGATACGTGCATTTCAAAGCCGCCCTCTCCACTGGTGGATGCAGTTGGCGGCTTGCACTTGCTTGATGCCGCCTCGTTTAGCCCATTAGATGTCTCCGCCTGCCCTGAGGAGTTGACCCTAGCGATGAGAAAAGAGTTCCGTGGTGTCCTGTCAGTGACTGAAGATGGTAGGAGACTGGTACGCTTTGTGGACTGTTCAGTCAGACTCAGTGTGGCACTGCTTCTGTGAGTAAAAGATAAGCTGGCAGGTTCCAGTTGCTGTAAACAAAGATGGTGATCTTTGTCTCCACTTCCTGAACTGCCGCCAGCAGCCTTCTGACCGGTTGGAATGCCAGCACCACTTGCCAGCTGATGGGTCTCATGAAGAGTCTGCACAAAGTGTTTCTTATTATTTACGGGTGTGGCCTGTACCTCACCGCCCGCTGGTAAACCGCCTCCAGGTACAACGGTTCCAGCACCGTGAGACCGATAATGATGACGCCGTTGGGCATACTGGTGGTGTTGGTGGTAGCCCATCTTGCCTCCCGGTTTAGTATGCCCTACACTAACTTCCGTGTCGTCCTTCTGTTTCAGCAGATTACGCGCTTGCTCGTGCTGCTGGTGAAACCCGGTGCGTATGACAAAGTGAAAGCCGCAACACTGCATGATGTAGACCGGCGCTGAAAAGCTCTCAGACCTATAGTTCTCAAACAGACCCATCTTCGGACGATCACGCTTGCTGGTAGAGCTGACTTGAGCAGACGGTGGCCAACTGCCGTGCAACTTGGATATCCAGTTGTGAAAACTGTGCATTCGTCGCATCGTCTTCTTCATCACCATACGCATGGTCTCCGTCATACAGCCGTAGAGGCAGGGGTTCAGGCAGCTAGAACACATGGCTAGGAGTTTGAGCAGAAGGTCGATCAGTTTTGTGTGCCGTCCGAATAGCAGCAGGGACTCCGAAGCCAAGACACTGGTATTGTAGTCCGGACAGGCAGCCAGACTGCTCATCTCCAGCACGCCATTTTGCTGATGTTTTTGCAGGCCTTGCAAGCAGGACAGAAGCAACTTCTGCACGTGTGCAGTGTTGATGGCCACGGGTGCTTCCTTCACTTCTTGCTGCAGGGTTCCGTTCTGGAAGTCCTTTTGTGTCCAATAGGTATGGACCTCTAGCGTCAGGGAGAAGACCGTCCAGGGAGTCCAACAGACAAAAAAACAGACTACGATGCCCACGAGGATCTTATTAGTCCGCTTTTTGCGCTCAAGGTCACGCTTACGAAATCGTCGTTCGTGCAGTCGAATGTAGATGCGGGCGTACAGAGTGGCGGTGAGAACGAGTGGAAGTAGGAACTGCACCAGGAAGGTCATGATGCTGTACAGTAGACGCACTTCGGGGGAGGGCCAGTACTCGACACAGTAGCGGTAGTGCGTGACGTTGGGAAGGGGGGCAGCCGGGCTTGACGTGCTGAAGACCGCGATCGGGATGACGCTAACGAGGCTAATGATGACGATAAGTATGAGCATCCCGGCCGCGGTGAGTCGCGTCATGCGTCGCCTCAGGGGATAAATAATGATCCAGTAGCGATCGATACCGATGACAAGTATTACCAGACAGGAGATGTGCATCGGAAGGCCGAAGGTGGAGAAGACTACGCGGCAGGTGACCTCAGAGAACTGCACCGTCTCCACCAACTCGTAGAAGGTCTGCATGGGCATGTTGAATCCGCTCATCACGATGTCGGAACTGGCTAGCGCAAGGACAAAGGTGTTGGTGATGTTGCGCAGGGCCTTCTGATGCCAGGCAACCAGCAGAGACACTACACAAACATTCATCAGCACGCCGACGGCAGAGAAGATGCAGTAAAGCACGATGAGACAATTTCGCACCCACAGTGTCCGGTGTGAACTGAAGTACTCGTGTCCGTAGATGGAGAGAAGGACCTCCGTGGGTAGGTGAAAGTCCTTCGGGTCACCGGCAAGGATGTCGAAATTGCCGACGAACCCCGCTGACTGCGCGCCCTCTAGTCTTTCCTCTGGCAGGCCGAAGTCCGTTGTGTTTGAAATAAACAGTGACATAGTGATGGAGGAAAAGGAGAGCAACGTCAGTTCGTTCGGCGTCAAGTAGATGACGAGGCAAGAACAAATGCTCTAGCAAACCGTGTGCCCATCTGTTGAGATCGGTCTATAAAACAAATACATTTAATTAGTGGCTGTCAACCCCAGGCCAAAAGTACTTCAAATATTGCAGGCAAATACATTTAGTATGCCTTTTAAGGCTGGAGCCTACAATTTCGTCTGACCACAATATTTATGAGGATTATTTACACAAAACTGTGTAAAACTTCAGCTAAAAATTGTCTTTATCTTATCCATTAAACTGAGGGTTGTTTGTGCGTTCTGCACAAGACATTTTATCCCGACACACCCAGCACACGTTTTACCTTTAACCAGGATATCAAAGTCCCGTTTCCTACTTTCAAGAGCAGAGTTCATCTGACAATTTTGGTAGAATTCATGGTGGAGACTGTGTTGAACATCAGAAATCACATCACCAACACTGACGGACCAGCTAGGGAACAAATCTCTCCCAGTTGAATCGTGGACTACATATCCGCGCAAGGGACGGACTTCAGTGTTCAGTGAATGTTAAATAAATGTTTTTGCGCATATTCAGAAACAAGCGGTTAACCAGGTAGAAATTGAATAAGAGGGAACATTTCCAAAAAAGACAAACTTTCTTGTCCCTCTGGACGACGCGGAAATGCTCACAGAAACAAGCATATTAAAAAGGGAACTGAAAGTTGAGATAAATATACTGTCATTAAACGACCAGGTCACGTTGTGAGTAGCGCTCAGGAAGGTGGTTGTTAGAAAGCTGAGACTGTACTCTGAAGTATTTTCTACTTAGGTGGCTTCAGCTTGCTAAGTCCCAAGATTGTTAAAATTTTCGCAACGTTCAGGCATTTCTGTAAAACCCGACAGGAGGTCGAAGCAATTACTTATGTAGAAGTAAGGTCGCAATAAACCTCTCTGTATAAAGTTTCATCTGAGGCCTCGCTACAGCCCGAAGACATGAAGAGACCAAAGGAGTGGATAAAAAGAAATTAATGCCATAGGGTACATGGAGAGAACGCAAAGACGACATAAGCATCCATATTCGACAAAGACGATTTTCATAAATGTAGTGCATTATTATTACACTTGGATGTTTCCCTGGTTTAATTGATTCTCTCTCTTTGGTCATTTTGGCGGAAATTTGCGTTTCAGCAAGGTTATTAGTTAAAAATATAGCTTATAACTTCGTAAGTTTGTTCGACCATACTTGGCTATTATGCCTATAGCCGAAATTTCATCATTATATATCGGGCATGCGACGGCGTTTTCGAAATAACGCAATATTTCTATATGGCAATTGGGAAGATGTGCGGTGTACATATATATCAAACAAATAATTTTTGAGATTATTCACTGAAGGACACGGGTTAGTTCTCCGGGACATGACATTTTAGGGTCAAACCCAAAATTTCAATGAATATTTCAGTCAAAGACAATCAACTACTGTGGATTAACCACGTAATGTCCATTCTACAAATAAGTTGTACTACGAGTAGTATGAAATGTATATGGCACACGTATTATACCGTACTCCCGTCATAGGTACTGACTTAAAGCCCGGAACAGTGTTTCGTCGACATTCTGCCGCTGCAAGACACAGCTGCGAGGGTTTCGGCTCCTCAGTGGGTCCACCGGCGTTCTCTTTGCGGTTTCTAGTATATGAACTCCAGAGGATAATCAAGTGTATAGTCTCAGAAATTATTTATTGCAGGATGTGGAGGTCAGTCCCCGGGGACATGACTTTTTAGGGTCAGACTCGAAGTCTCAATGGATATTTGAGTCAAGGACAATCAGCTACTGTGAAATAACCGCGTGATGTCCATTCTACAAACAAGTAGCACACTGGTAGAGGGGCGCTCACCGATCGTTCTTACAGAACTCACTCGTTCCGTTGTGTCTTATGGTTCTCTCTCGAGCTCAACCAGTAGCCAAACAGAAGCCCATGATATAGGCAGAATGTTTTTACTGGCAAAGAAAAGGGAGACAGGAATGGCCATTTCTGTCGTATTAGCACTCCTCAGCCGGCCATACCCGACAATCTACCAGTCACGCATGGGCCCCAGAGCACAATGAAACTTACTCTTTTCGTAACCAAATCGGTGAGAGCCCATCCATCACAATTAGCATTCCCGATTACAATCGACAGTACAAGGGACCCGATTGCATTAGACAGGACTACAGGCTAATGACTCATTGGCAATTTTACATTCAATGGGCAAAGATCACGAGTCAGAATTCCAACTGCCCCAAAACATGGCGTTGCGTATAACTAGTTGACAACATCCAGAAAGCTA